ATGTTTACGATGTATTAGATTAAGAAGGAGAAAGCTGTATGGTGTTGCCTTTATAAATGTGTGAATATATAATATACAATAGAATATATAAGTGCATGTACAGATAGATGATAGCTGGATGGATAGATAGATAGAAAATGTCAGGGAGGACAAGTACTAAATGTTATAGTGATTATCTCTGAGTGGTAGAATCTTAGTTGACTTTTATTTTCTTCTTTTATTTATTTTGTGTGTGTGTGCTTGGACACTGAGAGGTCTAACGCTGAGACTGTATACATATATCCATTTTGTAAAAATTATCATCTATCTTTTACAAATGGAAATCATATTAATTTTTAAATTATACATATCTGTATAGATATATCATTGCCTGGGGAGCTTTTCAAGTGAGTTGTCACTTAACAGAGTGCATGACCCTAGTGTGATGGTGAACAGATCAAGTGTAGTGCGACCAGAAGGCTTTGGAAGGTCCAGAGCTTTGGGCTGGAAGGATGCATGGGGAAAAGGAGGATGTTTTACTATGCTCAGGCACCACAACAATATACCACAGTGAGTGGCTTAAAGAACAAATTTATTTTATCACAGTTTTAGAGACTCGAAACCCAAGATCAAGGTACCAGTCAGTTCTGTTCCTGGTAAGAGCTCTCTTCTTGGATTGCAGATGTCCGCTGCTGCCTTCTTGCTATCTCCTCACATGGCAGAGAGGAGAGAGACAGAGAAATCTTTCTAATGTCTCTTCTTATAAGGGCACTAATCCCATCATAGGGTTCCTGCTCTCGTGATCTCATCTAACTCTATTTCCCAAAGGCCCCATCTCCAAATACCATCACATTGGGGATTAGGGCTTCAACCTATGAATTTTGTGGGGACACAAAAATTCAGTCCATAACAGGGGAAGAGTCAGGAAAAAAAAAGAGATGGTGGAAAAAAACAAAGACTGACCAAATGAGAATAGACAAAAGCTATTTTTTCAAAGCTTGCTATAGCAACGGAGTCAGCCACCATCACTTGTCTCTTGGCAGAAATACAAAAGCAGGCAGTGGAGTGAGAAAGTCTCCAGGACGTCCTGATTGGTGGCTGTTGGCATGTGGAAGCTGTAAGTGTGCTGACTAGAAGCATGGCATCCTGTGTGATGTGTTAGGGGTGTGTATTTGGCTTTCTCAGGATGGCTTTAAGTAAAAAACAGGGGCAAATATTATAGAAGCTGTCAGTCATTTATCAAGTCTTGGCTATTTGGGGTAGACTGTTACAGGTATTCTTATTTGGCTTATGGACTGTGAGATAGAGACAGTGGTCTGACTTCCTCCAAGTCTGAGTTGCACATAGCAGATTGGCTTCCTGGTCTGGTTACTGTAGATAATGGGTTGGTTTCCTGGGCTGGTTGCTGCAGAGTGTGGGTCAGAGTTCCATCTTAAATATGATCTGGCCACCATCCATTTGTTTGTTCAGTCTGTCAACACAGACTGACAAGACAGAGGGACAGACAGAGCACTTACTGTCAGCCACTTCTGGGTCCTTTCCATACTTTACCTCCCTGAATCCTTACAGAACCCTGAAAGGTGATATTATCATCTATCTTTTGCACATGGAAGACAGGATCGAGGGTAAAGCAATTTGCTTGTTTTCATAGGTAGCGCATGACACAGCAGGATTCAAATGCACATATGATTGGCTAGAAAGCCTATGTTTTCTCCTCTACATCAAGCTCCCTCTCAGGAAGAAGGACATGACAGAAAGGAAGGTGGTGAATGACTGAAAAAAGAGTTCAAACTAAAAGAAACCAAACCAACCATTTTTTTAATTAAAAAACCCAAACAGGATTGTTGGCATGGCTGTCTTTCACCAGCCTCCCTGCTGTGCTTGGCCTTCAGAGCACTATTCCAGAGTCACCTCCCGAAGTGTTTTGTTTTGATATATTTAAAACTCTAAAAGGTGACCTAATTTTGTTTAAGTAGGCTGAGCTCTTCCTGTACTTTCAGATTTAAATCAGATTGCTTTAAACCCTTGTCCTGTGATTTCTGCAGGTTCCAGGAGACTGCTGTGTCCTCTCTCCCTGTCCCTCTGAGTTCTTACCCCACTGTCTCACCTCCAACAGCTCTTCTGTTCCCTCTGATCCTGGTCCAACGAACCATGGAATTCACCTTATTTTCCTTAGGTTTGAGGTGATGAAAAGTTTCCACATTCTGTCAGCTACCCCACCACCCGGGGTATCTCCCACCCCTTTTTTCTCAGCAGGACTTTCACCATTGTGGTTGGGCCCCTGTCTCTCTCCAGAGTGCCCCATTTCTCACTGCTACTTGATTTTCCAGTCCCTGCACTCTTGGGTTTCCCCCATCCTCTAGTCCCTGAGATATTACAAAGCCACATAGAGATGCATTTTCCCACTGATACACAGTATGCCATTACTCCTCCCCAGAGGTGGAAATGGCTACAGTCAGTTTTTATTCTTTAATAAAGTTTATATGTCCATCACACCTATGTTTCAGTTGTCTGTATCTTTATATCAGCATCACTGACCCCTTTCTGGAATGAGGAGCAGGCAGATGGTGGTTTCAAAAGCCTGTATACTCTCTACATCTTATTCATAAGCAGAACTCACTTGGTTTTCTATCTGTCATTACAGCCAAGTAGCTCTGGAGTTGGCTGGTAAGTAGGATCTCCAGTGGTGTTAGTACCCCAGGATTACTGCTCATCAATGAGGGGACATAAGCAATGATTAGCGTGAACAGAAGCTCACTTTGTAAACACAGGCTGCAAAATTCAAGTTTAAGAATCACTCTTCTTTCTGGCAAGTATGTCTATTTCTCCCCCTCAAAGGCTGACAGAAAGGAAAGGAAAGAACTATTTAATAAATGATCTACAGACTTTCCCAAAAACAAGTGCGTGGAAGGCGAGAGGTAGAGAATATGAGGTTTCCAATCCCGTAGGTTATCTTTCATAAATGAGCTTGCTCTTGATGCCCAGGGGTGTTTACTCCTATAAAACAGAACATTTATCGCATGGGGGCAGGAGATGGGGGAGGTGCACCCATGAAATATGCATAAGATATCTTATATAACTTAAGATATATCTTAAGTTATATAACTTAAGATATATCTTAAGTTATATCATAAGATATCTGATATAACTGAGTCTGTCCATCATGACTTGGAAGATGTGATGTGATCCATGCTATATCCAAAGTACATGTTTCCAATTAAATGGGGCAGAAAGAGGTGAAGAAAAATTTTTGGATTAGGAAGTGGGTTAGAGTCCTGTTCACCTCTAACTAAATGAACTTGAAATAAGCTCATTAAGTACCTTTCTTCATCAGTACATGAGAGTAAAATGGCTTCTTTGCAATCAACACCATCAGCAAAAGACATAAAGAACTTTATGAAAAATATATACATATATAAATAAATGACACTTATAGCATGTTCGTGGATAGTAAGATTCAGTACCATAAAGATGTCAATTCTCCTCAAATGACCTACAGATTAATGCAGTTCCAATCAAAACTGAAATGGGACATTTTACTGAGCTTGACAAGCCAATTTAAAAACATACATGGAAATTTCAAGTACCAAGAAAAAGCCATGAAGACAGTTCTGGAGAAGTAGAACAAGGTAGTAGAGGTTTACTGAACCAAATATTGATTTATCATAAAGTTAGAATGATTAATAGAGTATGGTATTGACACAATTCAATAGAAAAATGGAAAATAAAACAGCCCCCAAATAGACCTACACATATATGAGAACTTGATACATGTCAGAAGATCATAGGGAAAGAAATGAAATTGGAACTTCACCTTAATTCTTAGGCAAAATTACATTCCAGGAAGTTATAGACTTAAATGTGAAATGTAAGACTTTAAAAAATTTTTAAAGAAAATGTAGGGTGTTATTTTTATGACATTAGAATAAAGGAATTCTTAAACGAGATACAAGATACAAGGTACATTAAACCAAAAAATTGATGGATAAATTTGACTCTATTTATATTTAAAAGTCAAGCCAAAAGGTGGGAGAAGCTATTTGCAACACGTAATCTGGGAAAATGTATGAAGAATGTATGAAGAACTCCTAAAAATCAATCAAATATATTTTTTAAAAAGATAAACAGAAGAAAAATGAGCAAGGCACAAACAGACATTTCACAGGAGGGAAAAGAGAAACAGCCAAAAATAAGATTCTCAACCTCATTGATAAATCAGGAAAGTGTGCATTTAAACTTCAATTAGATACAATTTTCCACTCACAGGACTGGTAAAAAATTTGAAGTCTGTTATTTCTAAGTATTGACAAAGATATAAACCTCATGGTTCATCTGGCAATATCACTCCTAAAAAACTTAGTAGACTTCTGATTTATTTGCTTCCAGTCAGTTTCACATGTCAGCAATCACCATATTCAAAAAGTCTTTCTGAAAATAATTCTCAGGTCTGACTTGTGTCTTTGCTTCCTCATCCAATCCCTTTCCCCTATCTGAATAGAAGCTAGCTTGAAGCCATCTGAAACAATAGGTGGGAGGCCACATCCTTAGTCTGGTCTTCCCCTCATTGCTGGTTTAAACTCCTCACTGTAATAACTGAATTTGGGTTCAGGCTTCATCGGCACAAGACCTGCACACTCAGAAGGTATACACATTCGCATTTTCATTTTGTACCTGGCCACGCAAAGTATATAGCTGGTGCTACGAGGGGCTAGGAGCAATTGACCCTTGCAACTCTACAAGATCCCAAATTTTAGGACATTCTTTTAACTTCCTTTCATTTTTGTTCATAAACCAACCAACTCTTGTCTGAGTTCATCTCTTTTTTCTAATACTTTGCTAAACACAGCTGGTGGCAATCAACACACACTATTAACATTCTGTTTATCAACTGTGGTAGTTAATTTTGTGTCAACTTGATTGCCCTAGACAGACAGCTGGCAAAACATTATTTCTAGGTGTGTCTGGAGTGCATTCCTGGAAGCATTTGAATCTGTAGACTAAGTAAAGAAGATTGTCCTTACCAATGCCAGTGAGAATCATCCAATCCACTGAAGGCTTGAAGAGAATAAAAAGGCAAAGGAAGTGTAAATTTGCTCGAGCTGGGCCATCCATCTTGTCCTGCTCTCGTGCATCAGCATTTCTGGTTCTTGGGACTTCAGACTAGGATTTAGAGATTTACACCATTGGTTGCCTGTTTCTCCAGCATTTGGACTTAGACTTATACCATCATCTCCCCTGGTATTTCTCCCATGAAAATGCCTTTGGATTTGGGCTGAATTATACCACCAGCTTTCCTGGTTCTCCAGCTTGCAGACAGCAGATTATGGGATTTCTCAGCCTCCATAACTGCATGAGTCAATTTCTATTACAAATTTCCACATATATATATCCTATTGGTTCTGTTTCTCTGGAGAGTCCTAACTCCACACCACCCTTGTACCCTCCCTGGGGGTCCAGTCTCAGTAGGCACACAATCTGCCTTCCAAAGCATCACATATAACAGTTCTATCCAATGCATCTCTAGTGTCCCAGCTTTCCCTATCAGTTTCCTTATTACCTGCTGCCTGCTCACTAGGCCAATGCCACATGTTTTAGGTTTGTGTTATGACAGCGCTGCACATGAAGCACCAATCTCTGCTTTAGTTAAGGAAACTCTAGCAGCTATACCAGAGAAACCCCCAAATACAGTAGCCTTAAAATAGAAGTTTGTTTCTTGTTCAATTAAAGTCCAATTAACAGTAAAGGTCAAAGGGATGGATACACAGTCATTCAGAAACTCAAGCAGATGGAGATTCTGCCACTCTTAACAGATGGCTGCTAAGGTATTGCTTAGCATCAGCATCCAGCAGTCTGGGGAGGGGGGAAGAGAGAGTCAAGGATTACTCAGGGGGTTTATCTGAGCCAGGCCTGGGAATGGTACATATGGATTCTTCCCATGTTCCTAGAGGCAGAACTTAGTCACATGACTACCCCCTGCTGAAAGGGAGACTGGGAAATGTAGTCTCTCTGTGTGCCCCGGGGGCAAAGAAAGGATTTGGTGTATAGCTAACCTGTCTCTGCCACAATTATTTTAGGTCTGTCAGGGTTCCTGGTTCTGCCTGAGCTGAGGCGCTGAGGAACAGAAAAGGCTGTGAGTTAGGTAAGTTAGGTCATACCTCCTCCTATCTAGCTATCACAGGGATATTGGCTCGGTGCTTTGTGACAGCCTGGAGGGGTGGGATGGGGAGGGTGGGAGGGAGAGAGACGCAACAGGGAAGACATATGGGAACATATGTTTATGTATGACTGATTCACTTTGTTATAAAGCAGAAACTAACACACCATTGTAAAGCAACTATACCCCAATAAAGATGTTAAAAAAAAAATCAATTAATAAACACCACTAAGGGAAAAAAAAAAAAAAAAAAAAGGAAGTGGCCAAAGTCCTGCAGCTAAGCAGATGAGACATAACATGCTAAAAATAGTTAACATTCAGGTTATATTCGTAGATAAAGAGGTCATCAATGATCAGAAATTGAAAGTGAATTTTAAGTTTAAAAATTTTAGAAATCAGGCAATCAGGCATAACCGCTAAAATGTTTAATTTTTAAAATAAACCTGAAGTACGTAAAGTTCCCAACATATGAAAAAATATTTATTTTAAAATATTAACCAGGTAGTCTTCCTTGTTAACAAACAAATCACCTGGACTCATTGTAGGTCCATTGTAGGTCCCCTCCACCCACCAGGAATAAATTCTGCTTCACTTAAAATCCCTAGATACCACTGGCTCCCCTTCATGGGCTCAGCACACAAGAAAAATAGGTTCCCAGTGACTCTGCAAGGGGCATGAACCATAGGAAGGCAAGGAGCAGGAACTGGCCACTTGGACACTAACCCTCCAGCGTGGGCCCCCACTAGGGATGCATCCTTGAACTAAGACAGCCTAAGGCAGCATGCTGCTTTCAGTCCTGAATCTAATCGACCCACCGCCTCTCGGCTACCCCCTATTAATGCACAGTGACTGCTGAATTTAACTGCTTTTCTGGCTCCAGCTCAGCCCCATGGCCTGAGTAGAAATAATCCTTTCATCTCCCAATAAAGGAGAATACTGGGATTTTATAGCTCAGCTCACTTTGAAGAGCCATCTTTAGGAGATGGAGGCTTTGCATTTCCTAGAGTGGTCAGATTAAATATGCTTTTCACTGATCTCATTGGGAGATCGAAGGGCAGGAGTTGATTATATTGTCACCCATTTGCTCTATGGAAAGTACTGCAAGTTTCCATTTTAAGCAGATTTCAGAGCACAAATGTCATTCTCGAGAAGTTTTCTGAAAAATCAACTAAGTCTTCAGAGCCATACTGTTTAGGAGCCAGCTGTTAGTCCAGCAAATGGAGATACTTTGAAAAGACACAATTTAAAAAAAAATAAATTTATTAATTTTATTTATTTTTCTATTTTTGGCTGCATTGGGTCTTTGTTGCTGCACATGGGCTTTCTCTAGTTGCAGCGAGTGGGGGCTACTCTTCGTTGGGGTGCGTGGGCTTCTCATCAGGTGGTTCTCTTGGTGCGAAGCACAGGCTCTAGGCATGCGGGCTTCAGTAGTTGTGGCACT